AGGGTTTTGTACCTCAAAGTCAATAAATTTATTTTTGCCGACCAAAGGTCCGATACTTTTTGAACAGACCTTGTATAAAAAATCTTGTAATGTTAATAAAACTATAAATTATCATTCTTATATCCCAGATTATATAAAAAGGAATTCTTATCTTATGGAATTAAAAAATATATATACACATATAACTGATGATCATAATAAAAATATTAAACTTAAAGATTTAGAAATAAAAGGTATAATGAATGATTACCTAAAGTTTATTCTTACTAAATGGAAAACATGTTACTTAAAAAACAGATATAATATGAAGTTTAAAAATGAAAAAACATATAAAAGATTTCCATATATTAAAAATATTTTTGATTATTGTAGTAATAGCCTTAAAAATTATAACATTTGTTTGGCCCCATCTTTGACCAATAAAATTTCGCAGAATATACACAGATATATTGATAAAAGTAGTATTAATAATATGGATTGCCTAAAAAAAGCTGGTGTTGTATACAGGTTGGAATGTGATTGTCAAAATCCATATATGTACTGTACATAGGTGAAACAGGGTGCATATTAGAGGTTAGAATAAAAGAACATGAAACGGCCATCAGATTGAAGTACAATAATTCTCCGTGGTATGATCATACAAATAACAATAATTGTAAAATTAACCATAATAATATAAAACTTTTGCATTTTGAAAAAGATCTTTATAAAAGAAAATTTAAAGAGCATTTAGAAATAAGGAAACAAAAAAATAATTTAATAAATAACTCAGATGGTATGCAAATTGATTACCACTGGTATAAATTAATAGATGGTGCTAAAACAAGTTAAAACATGGTATAATTATGTAAAAAATCTTCCATAGTAATTCTGATACTGGTATATTTTTAATAATATTGTCTGTGTATCAAATAAATTTTTACCTACGTATGTCAATTTTTACTATGTTAACAATTTTTTTATTACGTCTGTTATATACCCATGTGTAAAAAAAATTTAAATGATTGTGAGTAATATGGAAATTTGTTTGTTGGAAGTTAAGGTTGTTTAATTTTAGATGTACAGTAATACCTCGACTTACGCAAACCCAGAGTTACGCGATTTTCAAATCTCATCGATTTGTCTTTTGTTTGAGCACTAAGCAACTCTCGATTACTCAATCCCCCACACCATTGTTCAGCTTACATGTTCAGATGTGTCGCGTGGAATCGACACATAGCCACAATTTATTTTGTGTTATTTATTTCTGTGTTTGTTATATCTACGGAGACTTGAGAGACTCTATGTGGTGATTTCTTCTAACCGCGAACGAATCAAAAGACGAGATAAGATTAACGAGAACATTTATTAGCTTACATACATCTGACTTGGGTTTTACACAAATTGCAAAATTATACTCCGACTTACGCGAATTTGACTTACACGGTTATCACTTGCTCCCACCTATTGCGTAAGTTTGGGGTATCACTGTATATTAATACGGAATGCACAATTTTATGTTTAAATACAGGTTATTGGATGAGGAAGGTTTGCCCTCCCAATCCCTATTTTGAAAACAAAAAAGAATTTTTTGTAATTTACATAATGTGGAAATGTAAGTGTTTTTTATGATTAGTTTGTTTCTATGGTATAACATAGTCATATTTTAATATTTCTTGTTTATTTGAACTAGCACTGAGGAGGCGTTGGCATACATTATACCAACCCGAAATATATTTGTAGTTCAATGGAAAATAAAAAATAATTTGCTGTGAGATACCAGAAATTGCTGTGAGATACGTCTACCAAAGTGTGTTTTTTTTATTATTATTATTACAGAGACAGATTTACATTTGTAATACTATAATATAACAAACATTAAAATGAAAACCATATAGAGTTTTGTTATTTCAGCCTACCATTGTCATGTTTTTTATCACAATACTTGGATGGTACAAAATGACAGTTTCATTGGTCAAGTAGAAAGCAATTGAAAATATCTTAAAAATTTTAAGATATATTTTTTTTTCTAATGTTAGCTCTAACAAACGGTTCCATTCACAGCCAAATATCAAATGGTAATCTGCCAACAAATCAAATTTTGCAAAAAATAGACCAAATATTTAAATTTGGCACCCTTGAAAATCACTTAAAACATATTTTGTGCTCATAGGTAATCTTGTATTATGCAATTTTCCTATTTGAATGCTACCATACCTATGGTTTGATAGAAAGAAGGTATTGCTGTGGAAGGGGGATGAAGTTAATTTGACCAAAAGTAATAGTTGACCTCCTCCTGAAAAAGAAGATGGTTAATGACTACTACTTAATACTGGTCTACTATTAATATTTGAAAAATGATGTGTTGGATAGGTTGTGATGGCCCTATTGCTAACCTTAACATTTGAAAGACTTTTTTATTTAAACAAGTCTTATAAGACTTGTTTAAATAAAAAAATTCCTTAAAGATGCAAGAATAATTGTATTTTGTGATCCCGTAAAAAACTGGTGAAACCAGGTTGAAAAAGTAAAGCTTAGCAAAAACATCTAAGTAAAGGAAACGTTTGAAAGTTGTGGCATAAGCACACTAGAAGCAGATTTGACAGTAAGACTCAGCATGTGAATAAAGTGCATATTACACAGATTACAGCTACAGGAAATATTCAATGAAGCAACGTCACCATGATAATAAATAGGAAAAATAAACATTGGCACAGAAAAATACTTCCAGCTCTACTTTGAGCCTTAAAATCATTACACGTACATTAATTTGGCTGGCTGAACATTAGAACATCTTAATCAGTATCAGTGAAATAAGTTTGGGGCAATGCGTTTGTGTGTTAATGTGGGGAAAATGAAATCAGGGTATTCGGGTTTCCTGGTAGTTAAGTATGTCCTCGTAAATATTGCATTTATAAAAAATTATTAGAATTGCTTTGGTTTATTTGATTACAGCAATGCGACATGTGAACAATCTGCCAAGGAGGATACATCCCAAAAAGACTTTTATGTAAAGCTGGCCCCCAATTTAAATGTTACTAATGCAAAGAAAACCCAGAAAACTCCACATGGCCACTCCGTTGGCCACTCCGTGGGTTAACACATGGCCACTCCGTTGGCCATGTGTTAACCCACAACTGAATACCGGTGTTTGAGTTTTTATCCACTCAGTTAATGGAGGGTACTTATTGGTCTGCAATTTGAAAAAATTATAGACCTATAAATTACCACTGTTGTTTGTCCTTCTCAGTGCTTCCTTAATTTTGAGAACAGAGTTAGATACATGAAAGTTGAGACCAGACATGGAAATCATAAGAGAAAGAGGACCAGATTAACTATATGTGAACTTTGAATTTGTACTGCAAGTCATATTATTTCAGAAATTTTTCCTGAACAAAGTTAGATACATAACTGGCACAACTCTATTGCTAACAGGAAAAGTATGACAGTAAAAATAATGCTTTGTGAATATATTTAAAATGTTTAATATTAAAAACAGTAATATTTTAAAGAATCTATAGAAGTTAAACATAATAGAACATATATTTGAACATTTAAAATTTATCAGGCTTAATTACTTGTTCAATTATTTAGATTTTACATAATCATGGTGGTATTCTATATGATATTTCGGAACAATGTAAAGTTGAAGGGTATGATAGTTATATTTAAGAACTGTCAAAATAAGTTTAATTACTTTTAAAATAATTCAGCAAGAAGAAACAAAAAAATAAAACTTTATTAAATGAAATAATGATAAACTACAGATTTAGTTTTAGCCACTCACTTAAATATTTATACTATAAACTAATAAGAGTTGATTTTTGAATTTGTTCAACACTTTTCAACAATTTATTGAAATAAATATAAGATGCCGTACAGAAGAGATTGATCAAATGTCATCAGAATATGACATTTTATTAGTCTCTTCTATTGTTTTAAAGAAAATTTTTAAAACATTTACTTTAAAGCTTCAGGTTTTCTTCTATGATGTAGATTATTTCTTGTTAGTTTTTAAAACTTTCTGAAACAATTTTTTAACATATCATGTTATGTATTAAAAATATTCAGAATTTTAAAATTTATTTTTATTAATTGATTAATAATCAAATTTTAATTGTTTTAGCTATAATTATATTATGTACTGTACATAATAATAAACACAATTAGTTATACTTATCATGATATGAATATTATTTATTTATAAAGTATATGTTTTGATGATCATAAATGATATTTATTATAATATAGTTGTATACAGTTGTTTTTGATAAAAATCAGTGAAACAGAATTCAAAATTTTAATAATATAATATACAAAATATAAATATTACTAAAAGTTAAATATACACAATTTATATTAAGTATAAATTTTGTACATTTTTATTGTAATAAAAAATATAATTTTTGAATTTTTTATATTTAATATTTTTTTAAAATTTAAATAGTTTATATTTTTTATTAGTTATTTAATTATTACATAACTTAGTGTTTAAATCTAATTTAAATTTACATTTAACTTTATTACTATAACCCTATCTGACATAAAGGGGAATCCAAGTTAAAATTTAATATAAATCACAACACATTGTAATAAATTTTTACTTTTAATATTACATAATGGATTGTAACAAATATATACTGTATATAAATTAAAAAGTCAGTAGTTAACTTTACAATTAAATTATATTATATTTAGCATCTGTATGAACTTTTTCATTGTGGAGGGGAAGACACAGGTTCCTTGGGCTGACTTTCTCTTTGGTTACACTAGTGTCTAACTTAGTAGTATGTAATTAATTATTTGGTAGGAAAAAATACTACTAAATAATTACTTAGTTCTCTAGTTTGGCTTTGAATAGATTTTATAGTACACTTAATTATATTGTATGTTTTACATAAATTATAGATATTAGATAAGTAGAAGAATTAATAGAAATTCTATAAAATTAAATTAGTTACTTAATAAACTTATTGCAAATATAATAATTTTTTATTATAAATTTGAATTCCTGATTCCAGGTACTGCAATGGAAGCACTTCAGAGTATGCAAAGTTTTCTCAGAAGCAGACCGTCTAGTTTTCCAACCATGGAAAATGCTGTAGAATGGTGGTAAATTAAAAACTTTTTTCTGTTTGAAATAAATAAATGCATTTACAGTAATACCTCGATTTTCATTGACTTTGGTTAGCGTAGATTTCTTTCCTGCAAAAAATTTGTTTCAGTTTTCATCAGTTTCCTCAGATTTTGCTGGCATGTCCATGTGACCTCACTGCTAAGTTTGCAAAAACAAAGGGCGACCCATGCAATTTCCTGCTCAGTGTGGCATTGTTTTTCATTGTGTGAGCATTATCCCACGTATTTAGTGAAACAATTCCATTGCTTTCCTTTCCTTTTAGCTCCATCATGGAACCAAAGAAAGTTTCCAGAGCCAATAGCCCTTCGAATGCCATGTTTAAATGTTCATTTATTCTTTACATTAGTCTTTTTTATTCATTTTATATTAATTTCTTTTTGTTTTTAGTATTAAACNGTAAAATTGAAGAAAAATTAGACAGGTAATAATTTTTTCAGATTTTTCACACAATTAGGATTTTTACACGAACTAATTAAAAATCGATTGGTGCCTAATCGGCACTAGGCGCGTGCCGACGGGTTAAACACTATATTTATTCTCTATAAAATGTGTCTTTGGTATGTATTTTGGAGTGTCTAGAATGAATTAATTGGATATACACTGATTCATATGGAAGTAATTGCCTCAGTTTTCGTCAGTTTCGGATTTTGCTGATTGCTTTTGGACAAATTGACAAAAATCGAGGTATCACCGTATTTGGAAATGTAAACATTAAACATGAATAATTAACTATAAAATAATTGATTACTAATTCAAGATATAAGAATATAAAAATAGATACATTTTAATTTATTACAATTTCAGAGTTTCACGTTAAAAAAGGTGACTTAAAAATAATAATAAAACTCAATGCAAAATGATTTTAATATTGTAATAACTTAAAATTTAGTATTTTCTTGTTTAGCTTTATTTATATTGATAGTGCAATGTCATTTTTAAATGTAGAATATAAGAAAATTATATTGGATATTCAAAATATAAAAAATTTCTAAATACATACATACATATGTCAGGATAAATCGTCTGGACGTACGATTTTCCGCGCTTTTCTTGTTTTCAAACGACCAACGGACGTCATGGAGACGCGGATCCGGCGATGTCAGTAGTTTTGAAACTCGACCGCGGATTGGCTAGAAAACATCGTACGACCAGCAGACGTCCGATAGCGCTACTAATTGCTGATTGGTGGAATTACATTCGTTTCAATCCGTATAAAAGGATTGAGATTAGCGGGAAGTTTAGTTCGCCTAAAGCCCTGTTCACACTATGCGATTTCTAGCCGCGCAGGCGACTGCAACTGCAACAAGCGCGAGTCTTTTCGTGGTCTCACATTGTTCGTTGACGTTGCAACTCGGAAAGACGTGACCCTATAATAAACCAATAAAATTACATTAGCTTGTTTTTGACTACTTTCGTGAGTTTGCCGATATTTTAGGTTCTACTTCAGAGTATTTACGGAATTTTAGCCACTTATTAAAATAGCAAGCAATTCCTTTTCTGGAATGAATAAAAGAAAAAAGGCGATTATTTTAATAGAGCTGGCGAAAATACATGAAAAGATAAAATCTTCGATAAAACGAAGAATTGAAATCCCACAGGTATTCGTGAGCCTGAATAAGCTCGATCAATCTCGATTCTGTAAAAGTATTAATTCTCTGACTATCCGCCATGATGAACTATTTTCAATGTTGTCACTGTATGACGTGGCATAAAGGCGTTTGTTGATTGGATGCGCGTTTGCAATCGTCGCGAGTAGAACAAACTTTTTGTTTCTAGTTGCGATTGCAGTCGCGCCGCTTTTCGAGGGGGGATTACTAGTTAAGTTTAGCACACAGAACTCCATGCGGAGGACATTTAGGCAGTCGGAAAACAGCGGATCGCATTCGCGAGGTTTTCTATTGGCCGGGAATGGCGACTGATATGCGGAAATACTGCCAGAGTTGTCATAGGTGTCAAGTAAGGGCGCCATTACTGTTTCCGCCAGACCCGGTGGGGACCTTTCGTGTTATTCAGGGATGCATCGAATCAGGCTATCGGTGAATGTTTCGCACCATTCTCACCGGAAAATCGGAAAAGGTCGATAGTTTTCGCGAGTCGAAAGTTAAAAAGTGCAGAAGTCCGATGGGCTACTATCGAGAAAGAGGCCTATGCAATCATCTGGGGTCTCCATAAATTTAATTACTGGATTTATGGGAGACCGGTCAAGGTGGTCACTAATCACAACTCCCTAAAATACTTGACGTTGTCAACACCTCAGGCTGCGACTATGCAGACGCAAGCGAGCGAATTTTCCGAGCGAGCGAGAATATGTGGCGAGAAGAAGCGAGACGCGATAAATATCAAAACCTGTCAGATATGTGCGAGAACCAGAAATACGCTCTCGCTAGCGTTATTTCTCGCTTCTCGTTTGTGCGTGGTTTTTCTTTGTGAAAACTAAATCGCTCGCAATATCTCGCTCGCTCTAAATTCGCGTCTGCATAGTCGCACCCTCAGAGTGCAAAACTTACTCGCTGGGCACTCGCGTTACAAGGATATGACATTCAGATTGAATACCAGAAGGGGAGATTACACAGTAACGCACTCTTTCTTGCAGTGCTGTGCGATGTCTATAATTTTAACATCGATGTCAAACATCGATGTTTGCCTAAGCATCGATGCTAAATTTCGATGTCGGATTTCACATCGATGTTTGATCGATGCCCATTGGAACATCGATGTTCAATCAAGATAAACTCAAACAATTTAAAAAAAAAAACAAAACCGGGTTTGTTCGAACAGAAGTTCCTGACGCATGCGCAATGTCATTTTACAATGCGAAGAATAACGTGCATGCCGGTTCTAAATCAGTTACAGTAGGGACTAGGGACTTGCGTAGGAGTAACGTAAGTAACCTAAATTAAGAAAGAACAGGTACAGATAACTTAGCTCTATTTGATACGTGTACGATCGTACATGCAAAAAAAAAGTCGACAGGGTTTTTTTTTACTATTTCCGCCCTGTGGGCACTAAGAGGGCCTTTTATAGCAGGCCCATTATGGGTTCGGCCAGGCCCACAATGGGGCGACAGGGTGGTGAGGGACGGGTCCTGACATATCCGAACAGACCACCCCCCGAAAAATTCCTGGGGATTCCTTGACCCGTCCGAATTCGATCCCGGGTCCCCCAGAGAGGTAGGCTGCCACCTTGACCGTTGGCCATCCGGCCTCAAAGTCGACAGGTTGCGCGCCACAATTCGGCGTAAACAGACTAACATGGCAGAGTTGCGGATGAGTTTCAATGAGTGTGAGTTCATTCACTGTTAAAATAGTGTAAATTTGTAAACATATTTGCGAGAACTTTGTTTCATCGCAATTTCACAATTTCTACGAAATTCCCGGACTGTCCGGGTGAAAACCGAACAGGTAGTAACATTAGGAACAAAGAATGAACTGCATGCATCGATGAATCGAAATTCACATATTGCTAACATCGATTCAGGATCGATGTTTCAAAAACACCGGAAGGTCGATGCATCGACGAACAAAAACATCGATGCATCGCACAGCACTACTTTCTTGTTTAGAGACTAAGGAGAAAACGGTTATCAGGCATCGGTAACGAAGGCATCTCTGCGCGTAGATGAGTAAACTTCCCCGATGTTCCGGAAGAATGGGTCAGTCCGATCGTATCGGACGGTTTTTGTAAGATTGTTGGTGTTCGTTGGGGTATCAAACAGGCTTAAGTAAGCTTAGTTTGATCCTTGGCCGTGGAGGTGTAGGGATAAATCGTCTGGACGTATGATTTCCCTCGCTTTTCCTGTTTTCAAACGACCAACGGACATCGTCATGGAGACGCGGATCCGGCGATGTCAGTAGTTTTGAAACTCGACCGCGGATTGGTTAGAAAACATCGTACGACCAGCAGACGTCCGATAGCGCTATTAATCGCTGATTGGTGGAATTACATTCGTTTCAATCCGTATAAAAGGATTGAGATTAGGCGGGAAGTTTAGTTCGCCTGAGACATATCTAAGGAACTCAACTTTGTTAAGTTTCTCCTAAGCTTACCTAGAAGGTTGTTTCGTCTCACTGTGCGGTAACCAACGTCTGAAGGAATACGTCGCAAGGAGTCCTTTTCGACAGACCCGTTGTGGTTTAATTGACATTTGAACTTTGCTATATCTGGATTGTTGTGTTTGTGAAATTCATAACTGTATGTAAGTTTTAATCGTTCATATAAACGTTTGTGATTTGTGAAACAATTGGATTTTTGAACTTGACTACATAATTTTTCTAAATATTAGTATTAATAGATGTTTCATTATTTTAAATGTATAAAATTAAACTGAAAAACTATTTTATAGGTAATTATTCATACATTTTTAATACTTGTCTTATCAAGAATGTCATATTAATTTGTCAAACTATATTTTGGAATCAAATTACTCATTCTATGATATAATGATTTTTATTATTATAAGATTTTAATATTTTGAAATTTTTATAGTGTCAGAAGTGGGCAAGTAAGAAATATAGAATCAGCAAGAGTTTCAATGCCAGGACAGTTAAAATGGTAATGCTTTATGATATCAAAATAAATTTTTTTATTTAATTTATATCTTGAACTTTATCATTTATAGAACATACATTAATTTCTTATATTAAAAAATTAATATAAGATTTTTAGTTTGTTGTTTCATATATCAGAGAAAAGAACATAAAAAAGCCAATTTATTTTATAGTATTATATATTTTAGTACAAAATGTCTATATATTTTCTAACTTCAATTTAAATTTTATAATCAAAATTTAAAATATTAAGTTTTCTATATTTGAATTTCACTATGATATGAAAATGTTAAATTCAATTTAAAATTAACAAGATTAAAATCTTTTATATGAAAAAATTTTTTGGTAAATGTGTAGATTGGTACACCTAATTGCGGCACTTCCGGAATCTTAACAAGTCTTGAATTTTAATGTAGGTGTCGCTGTCAATAATTTTCAAGAATTCTAACAACAATTGGTTTTTAAATTATTTTTTTATTACTTTATTAACCGGATTAGTGTTATTTTACTCCTATGTTTCAAAAATATATTTCTTGGAGTTTTTATAAAAAATTTTTGGAGTTAATAATTAACATTTTTATCTGTATTGTTGTAATATCAGAATTACTTAAAAGAAATTTTTATGTAAAAAGTAGACCTCAGTGGATTTTTTTCATTATTTAGAATCAGATTTTCCTGAAATAGATGTTGTTAAAAGAATTTTGTCGGATGTTAAGTTTGCCATAAATTTTGGTTTACAACCTGTAGATGCAGATTGTATGAAATGTGATGGTTGTTGTAAATTAATTTATAGAAATGATAGTGATTCAGATTTATTTTGATGTCACAAATGCGAAATGAGCTGTTTGCCGTTTGAAGGTACATGTAAAGGTAAATTGGGAAATTTTGTGGGGAACTATTTTCCTTCATATGATATCTAATTTGCATAGTATACATTGAGCATGACCTGTTTGGCTGTGGGTGTGTTATCATGCAGCTGTTGATTAGGCAATGTTTGTAAGACACATTGTGATAATTTCCTTGTATAATTTATCCCAAATGAAAATTGTTGGACCCAGAAAGATAGTAAAAATTGATGAAACTGTTGTGAGTAAGAGTAAAAATGAAAAAGGGATGATTTTGAAAGGAATCAGGTGGGTTGTTGATGGAATTGTGCCTTCTGACCTGAAAACAATACCCAAGAAATCTGAAAATTAACAGAGGAAAAAAGAAGAAACGTGTTAAAAGTATGGGAAAAGTGTCAAGTAAGATAAAACAAAATGTAGTTACTAAAGATGTTGCAGGATCATATTCTAGTTTGAAGAAAAGGAAGAAAAAATAAAATTATGTTAATTGTGAATACAATATTTTTTACTTATAATACTGTTTTGTTAGTATTTGCACTGCTTGCCCTCTTGTTTGTGGACATAACATTCACAAACAAGATGGCAACTGGAAGTGTCGCCATTAGGTGTGCTGTACCTAAAATTTACTAACTTTTTTAATAGTTTTAAACAAATTCTCATTTTACAAGACAACTAACTCAATAACCTGAAACCAGTAATAGAACACTCACTATAAAACAGCATATGTTTTAAAGTGAGTGTTCTATTTAGAAATTTTTCAAATTTAATTTTCACAAATTGTTAAATTCCTTATATGAGGCTTGTTACAAATGGATAGGAATCAATTATGGTCCATATCCTGTTTCTACATTCATAATGTCAACTTTCATAAAAGAATTGATTAAATAATTAAAATTTTAAATCAAATTTTTTTTTATCATCTATATATCAAAAACAAAAAGAGCATATTAAAAATATATACAGTCAACCCCCCCTATAACACTGTTGAATATTCCGTTTTATATGAATTCCATGTTGTATGAGTCACTTATATTTTACAAATAAGTGTGCCGGGCTGTGAATGGGTCACATATTTGTAAAATCTAAGTGACTCGTACAACGTGGAATTCATATAAAACGGAATAATCAACAGTGTTAAAGGGGGGTCAACTGTAAAGTAAACTAAAAAATTAGAACATTAATAGAGCTATGCTTTTATCCATTAATTACTTTCTGGAAAGGAAACAACAAAGATGAACTAAAGTATAAATTGATCTATTTGTAAAATAGAAGTGTTTCATTTTATGGGAAAATTTCTGAAACTATCTTTAGCTTTACAATTTTTTGTGTTTTAGGTTAAAGAAATAATTGTTAAATTTGTTTGTATTTATTATAGATAGTAAATTAAAGCTGATTATATTTTTTAATTTATATTAAAGAATTAAGCTAATGAATACAATTTTTAATTTTTTTATGTACTTTAAAAATCCATTAACTATTATTTTCAGTTGTGATTCTAATTTACCTGCAACAGCCCAAGTGAATAAAGATTCTGAATTAGAAAATGCTACTAATTCAAATCAGAGTAATGTTACTGAATCTTCTATTTTAATGTCAAATGCAATTCTTGAAGAAGATGAAGAATTAACTGAAAATAAAACAAATAATGATAAAATAGCCACTCCTCCTGACTTTAAAATTCCAAAATCTCCTGTAAGTTGTTTTCTATTTTTTATATTAAAAAGATTAAATTTAATTAATGAATTATACAGTATAAAATGTTAATATAATAATGTTGAATTAATATAATATTAATTAAAAAAATAGAATGTAAGGAATTTGGCTATTATTACTTAGATGGTAGTAGAGAGATACATTTTTTTAAGTTTTCTGATGAAAATTTAATTTATACACTTTTTTATATAAACTATAAACAAAAATAATATTTTATATTATTGTTTGAAAAAACTTATCAGCAGTTGATTTGAGATTTTGTTGAACACAATAATTAAATAACTTGCTTTAATTATTTATATAAAAATATTTAAAATATTTTTTCTTTATCCTGAGATATAAAATTTTAAAACATTTGACTCTCAACTCTCAAATATCTATAACAATAATATTTAAACAGTTTTATGAAACTGTACAGTTCTGTGAAAATTTTTTGAGATTTCATAGATAATTCATGATAAAATAATTTTGATAATATAAATATTTTAATTTTGAAAAATACAAATAGCATTTACATAATATTTACAAATCATGGTGATTGCATGTTTTGTTGATTTTCAGAAAGCTTTTGATTCAATTATCATACTAAGACTAGTGGCTAAACTGCAATGATTGGGAATCTCAGGGAAATTTTTATTACTGATTAATACTCTGTTTTCAGATCTACAAGCTCAAACTCATACCATAGAAGATTGGTCAGAATTTTTTCATTGGGTAGAGGCATACATCAGGGTAATTCTCTAAGCACTGTTCTTTTTTCAATCTGTACAAATGATTTACCATCTGTATTTAAAGGCTTAGAATCAGATTTTTGTAACAAAATAAATATTCACTAATTACAATATACTGATGATTTGTTAATCTTAGCAAATAATCCAATAAATGTGCCAGGGAAGCTTAATAGGATATTCACAAGAAAATGGTCTTCAAATTAACCAAGATGAAACAAAGATTCTTATATTTGGCAATGGTTCTCAATTTTGAAAAGCAGACAAATTTTTTTTATTGATGATAAACATATAGGAATAGCTAGATGTCTTATCTGAGGGTCATCTTTGCTTCTCTTTTAACTTTTGTTAACCAATTTAAAATTATAAAGAAGAAACTTATGTCAAGAGTAAAACAAGTACAGTGGTACCTCAGGTTACGAACACCCCAGCATACGAAATTTTCAGGATACGACATGAAATTCGAACATATTTTTGCTCCACGATACGAACAAAAACTCACCATACGACGTTACATTAGTTCGCATTTTTCATTTATTTTTCTTACTACAGTTATTTTTTTTAATGTATTACTTGGCTTTAATTTGAGTATGTTTTTCGCGTTGGAACGAATTATTTGGTTTTACATGTAATCGTATGGGAAAAGATGATCCACCTTACGACATTTTCATGATACGATATCAGTTTCGGAACGGATTAATTTCGTATCCTGAGGTACCACTGTAATTAGAATTCATAGTTCATTTAAAACAATTAATATTTATTTGCACAAGTTCTTGGGTAATTCATTGGCAGATACTCTCACACTTCATGGAATTCAGATTTGAGGTATTTCCCAATTTGTTAATTTACTAAAAATTATATATGTTGTATTACAAAAAGCTATTTTGCTTGATTTGTTCTATACTATATTATGCCTTAAAGGCAGAACTAAATTTTCAAGATATTAGGATTAATGTATTAAAAAGGATGCTTAATAATACAGGAAGAAAATTTAAAGACCAAATTTCTCTGGATTACTCAGTACATTTAAAATTAAAAGAACTCAGTGAAAAGAAATATGACGATTGGTAATCTCAACTGGACAATATTTTGCATTTAGCTGAGTTTTCTTTGAGATTGCTGGAATCTTGTCTGAACGATATCTTTGAAATTTCTATGATATATTTATATAGTTTTCAAGAATATTTATCCAGAAATGATACAGCTAAAATAAGTTTAACTCTTAAATTTGTTTACACTACTCTTGGTCTAGCAATAACATTAAAATTTTTTATTCCAAATTATTATGTTGCTATATACTATACGTATGATTTTTGCACAAATGGCATTAAAGAGAAATTTGCTAAATCAATAAAAACAGTTGTGTAAAATATATTTTAGAAAATCTTATTTATAGTTCAGATAGTTTTTTTTTAAAAGTACAAGTACATTCATTTCAATTACAGTTGTGGTGAAATGCAATGTGGTGCAATTGTGTTCTGTTGTTTAATTTGTCACTTGCAAATGACCATATAACTAGCTGTTATAATTCATGATATTAATATATAATATAGGATTCGATATATTTCTAAAATATTTAAGATTATGTCTATTTAAGTATAACCAACCAAACTCTCACTTTTTATTTGATAGTTTATCTATTAAATTAACCAGATGAACTAATATTTCAAGTGCCATTTTAAATTTAATTTTGAATGTTGTTTTTTGTTTTTGTATGTTTAATAGTTGAATAAACAAATTTTATATTTGTATATATTGTATATGTTTATATATGTAAACATATACAATATATACAAATCATAGATACATTGATTAATCATAGATACAGGAACACAATTACAAATATAAAAACATATCCAGGGGCGGATTGTGGCAGCGACCACAACCTCTTGCTCTCCGTGATCCGAGTTAAATTGAAGCACATAAAAAGAAATAGAAATGATAAAAGAATGAGAATTGATGATTTGAAGATTAACAACATTAGGGAAAAATATGAGAGTATGACTAATAATAGACTTCAAAATTTAAATTTGGAAGGAAATGTGGAAGAACTTTGGGAGAATATGAAAGGGGAAATTAAAGAAAGTGCTTACCAGGTTTTGGGAGAGGAGAGAAGAAAAGCAAGAAGACCTTGGATTACGAAAGAAGTGTTGGAGAAAATGGATGAAAGGAGAAGATGGAAAAGCGCAAATACATTAGATGCTAAAGAAAAATATAGAACAATCGATAAACAAGTGAAAAGTATGGCAAGAAAAGCTAAGGAAGATTGGCTAGACAGAATCTGTCATGAATTAGAAGAACATGAAGTGTCTCAAGATCTGAGAAAGGTCTATCAAAACATTAATTTAATCTCAGGAAAAAAAAGAAGAGTAAAAATTGGGGCAATAAAGGATGAGAATGGAGAAATTTTAATGCAGAAGGAAAGGCAATTAGTAAGATGGAATGAATATTTGACAAAACTTTATAAAACAGAGGATAACATGGAATGTAAACTGGAAGAGGAATATGACGATGATGAAACCCCTAAATTTCTGGAGGATGAAGTTGAGGCAGCCTTGAAAAAATTGAAGAATAAGAAGGCACCTGGAATTGATGGCTTGCATGGAGAATTGCTTAAGTCAATGGGTTTTGAGGGAAGAAGGATTATAAGTCATGTTCTTAATAAAATTCTTGCAGAACAACAACTACCCACAGACTTTACTAATTTAATATTTATACCTATACCCAAGATAGCAGGAACACTGGAATGCGACAAACATAGAATAATAAGTTTAATAAGCCATATGTCAAAAGTTTTAACTAATACTATCTATAGAAGAATAGAACCGAAAATTGAAGCAGAACTAAATGATACACAATTTGGTTTTAGAAAGAACAAAGGAACTAGAGAGGCCATTACATTAATTAGGCTTATTGGAGAAAAAATGATTGAAAAAAACAGAGATCTTTATCTGTGCTTTGTGGACTATGAAAAGGCGTTTGACAATGTTAACCACACAATTTTATTTGAAATACTTCAAAAAATTGGAATAGATAAAGGGATAATTAAAATTATTCTCTTTTTATACAAAAATCAGAAAGCAATAATAAAAATTGATGAGAAAGAATCCAACTGGATAAGGGTGGAAAAAGGAGTGAGACAGGGATGCGGACTTTCACCACTGTTATTTAATATTTACAGTGAGTGGATGATGCGAGAAGCACTTGAGGATTTTAACGAAGGAGTGAAAATCAATGGATGCTTAATAAACAACATAAGATACGCTGACGACATAGTCCTGCTGAGTGAAAGTAAAGAGGGATTACAGAAAATTCTGAATCGACTGTTCAAAACTGGATTGGAGAAATTCCATATGAAAATAAATGAAAAGAAGACAAAAGTAATGAAGGTTTCAAAGAAGGAAGATATGGAGGAATTCCAGATCATTCTGGGAAATAAGGAACTTGAAAGGGTTAAAAAGTTTGAATACCTGGGAAGCTGGATAACAAGTGATAATAGATGTAAAATGGAAATTAAAAGCAGAATTAATAAAGCAAAAGCTGCCTTTTATCAGATCTATCATATATTAACAAACAGAGGCCTTAACATAAAACTGAAAATAAAAATCCTAAGGACAATGATCTGGAGTGTACTAACATACGGATGTGAGGCATGGACTCTTACGCATGAAATGATGGAAAGAATTAACTCATTTGAAATGTGGTGCTTGAGAAAGATGCAAAGAATAAGTTGGACGGAGAAAATAACAAATGAGGAAGTTTTGGACAGGCTGGGCTTGAGGAGAAGGTTGCTTATAAATATCCAACAAAGAAAGGTACGATATGCTGGACATTTGGCTAGAGGATCAGGAGGACAACTACTAAAAACGGTCATTGAGGGACTGGTGGAGGGGACAAGATCTAGAGGAAGACCCCGAAAGACTTGGAGAGATAACATCAAAGACTGGACTGGAAAGGATTTAAGAGAAGCCTGGAATAGAAAAACATGGAGAGGAATAGTTCATCAAATGCAACCCTCTGTAGAGAGGATGCCACTGGATAGATAGATAGATATATGTAAACATATTAATGTTCTACTAATAATTTCTTTTGAATATTATTTGCTGTTTTTCATAAGATTTTAAGAAAATTTGTAAATAATGCATTTATTATTTATAAAAAGATTATTATTAAAAAGAAAAAAAAACCTATTTTATAATGAAAGCATATGATAGTATTTATATCACAGAATAAAGTTTAGTTTTTTTTTCTATTCATTGCATATGTTTGCCACTATGGAAAGTGTTAAATTAGTTATCAAAGGATAGAAAGAAAGAGGAAGAAAACAAATTGAACAGAAAGCATAAGGACCTGATTTCATTTGAGATTTATAAAGGATCATAGAGAGATAAGAGAAATGAAAATTCTGCTTCAAATGATAAATGATAATCATTTAAATTGAAAAATTGATATAAAGCTTTGATACTTCATGATTTGTTAAAAACAACTCTTCTATTATTTTAAAATAAATAAAATATCTATTACACTATATATTATACTATAGATATCAATGGATAATGGATATCTGATGAATAAAAGTTTTAATTATCAGTAAATTTAATAATCCAATTTTAATATTTTAATAAGTTCTTGGTGTACAGTACTTTTGTTCAAAGTAATAATCATATGCAAAGAATATATTTAATATATTATTCTTATACAGTGGTGCCTTGACTTAAGAGTTTAATTCATTCTGTGACGGAACTCATAACTCAAATTACTCATATGCCAAATCAATTTTTCCCATTGAAATGAATTGAAATGCCATTAATCCATTCAGGACTCCCAAAACACTGCAATTTTTTGTTACATGTTCTTAAATAAGAAAAATGTACTTATAAATAATGAGTATTGTATAAAAACACAATAGAATGTACTGCAACAAATTGGTTTTGTGGATGTTGTGACATTAGCTGTATAAATAAAGAAAGAAAAGATGGAAAATTTGAGAAATGAGAGATGGTGGCACCACATACAACCTGAAATGAACTACAGTAATGCCTACATCACTCAATCACATGTTTTTCTATAAGCTAAGCTAAGACGAGTAACAAAAATGATGAAATTATGGCAGTTTTCCATCTTCTTTTTCTTAATCTATGGTTTGCTGTGGCATTCACTGCACCAACTAGTGGATGGGTATCTGAAGCTGGCTCATAACCTCAAATTTAGCTCTCAACTCAATGCAAAAAATTGGCTGAGAGAAGGCTTGTATCTTGAAAAACTTAAGTTGGTACACTCGTAAATCAAGGTACCACTGAATTATATTTTACATGCATTCATTTTAAATAGAAAGTAATTTTTGATTATTTTTAAATAGATTTGCTACCCACATGTTTGAGTTACATTACAGTTGTTAAAATGTAGATAAATTTTTATTAAAAATGAAATTTATGTTGTTTGTTATATTTAGGTCAGAAATAATCAATTTACTTGGAGAATAGATTTGTCTAAAACAGAGAAATATTGGGGAGGTAAGATTCAGGATTTTCAAATATTATAATTCAATAAGTTTATAAAATTTACAGATTTATTACAATTACATTTTCAGGTTGGTTTGAAGGTTTATCACAAATGTTTTTATCAAGTTCTGTTCCTAAGCTGCTATTGCTTGCAGGTTTGTATTTATTTAATAATAAAATTATGTATATGTAAAATATTGTTTTTGTATAAAATGGTGAATTAAAATCTACCTTATTGTAATCTATGTAAATACTGATTGTAATTGGTACACGAACATTTTAGATACATTTTGAAATTCCTGTGGCAAATTATGATTGAGTGATGATTGTGTATAATTATAACTTGTATTTTCTGCATAATATTCATCAGAATGGGATGACCATTCTGATACTAAAGAAAGAGAATTTTAGGATGGTAACATCAGAGCATAGCATAACAGCATAATAATAAATTTCTGTTTAAAAATATAATAATTATATATTTTGGGCAGTTTATAATCATATAATTCTGAAGAGTAAAGTTTAAACATTCCATTAAAAACATTTGTGTATGTATAAACAATAATTGAAGCCAGTATGAATCAATTTTAAGTCTAAACTGACTGATATGTAGACTATATTAATGTACAATGTAGCCTGAAAATCTAGCAGTTTAGGTTTACAGTTGACTAATTCAGGGGCCATATTCTGGTCACTGTCTCTGGTCTCTCACAAGCCGGTTGCTGATTGGCTAATCATTTGGATTAGCCAATCAGCAACCAGCTTGTGAGAGACTAGAGACAGTGACCAGAATACAGCCCCAGGTTTCATCTATTAAGCATGTGTATAAATCATGTTGGAATGAGTTTAAAGTTAGCTGATATTATAGGAGAGAGGTTGTTATCTAGATGTTCCCAGTGAACTTGACAATTAACTTGTATAAGTATATTTTAAACTACTGTATATGAAATTATTACAAAGAATTACTTTTTAGCCCTTGGTATAATAAAATAAAATATCTACTAATGTGAGGTACATAATAGTAAGGGCTTATCACATCAGTGATAATAAGCACAAACACTCAGGTATCAATGTAGTACTTTTAATAAAACAAAAAGTGATGTACAGTAAAAATCAATTACATGAGTATGAGTAATTAACATAAATAACCAAAATGCATTTTGGACTATTGAAAATAGTCCCTCTTCAGTTGGTATTAATATAAAAAAAGGTTGTTATACTTAAAATTATACAAGACAAATAAACCCCCATAACAGTATGATCAGTAAATATTAAATGGGTGCAAAAGAGACAGGCATAAGATAGCTTCATAATGTTACAAGGTAGCATGACATAAAGATTACTAATATAAACAGTTTAAAAAATTAGCAGGTTAACAGTTTTGGAATAATATTAACAAATATAAAATATTATTACAAAAACGAATTATATATACATACTAGGGTTTCTCAAATGGGATTCCGGGATCCCGGTTGTTTTTTTAACCTGGGAAATCCCGCAAATTTCTTAAAAATTCACTTTTTTTCTTATTTTGTGTTAAGGTTGAGGAATTTTGCAAATAGAAAGCATAATTAACTCATTCACTGTCAGAATACATTTGTATTTATTAATTTTAAACCTACCTATTATTTTTTTTAAATTTTTGCTCGTTATAGCATGTCACAAATGGTCAATAATCAATATATAGCTTATTTGTGGCAGGACTATAAAAATTCTTTACTTGTCGGAACCTGTAATATCTGGAATAATTGTGCTTACGCTGTCTTGAGTTTTAACCATGCCCAGTAGCTTCAATAAATGCCTGACGCCAGATTGTGCAAATTGGGCAAGGATACAAACGAGTACAAAGTCTGCAAGTATGAAGTTTTTCTTCATAAACCTGATTATTAAAGCCAAATGAATTGCCGAATTATCGAGCTCTAAGCTTGATGCCGCTATTAAAGCAGCCAAGGTAGACAAATCAAGAATACTAGAGAGCGAAAGAAGTACTACAATCTCGAAAACGAACTCGAAATCTTCCAGGCTACAGGTGAAAAAACACATAATATCTGTCTTCTCTTAAATGCATTAAACACTATTCCAATCACATCAATTGAATCGGAAAGGGCATTCTCGGTGGCAAGACTTTTCATTACTAAAATAAGAATTAGAGTGAGTTATCGGAGTATTGACCATCTTTGCTTTTTAAAATCTTATAAAAGTTTACAATATTTTGTATTATATTTTATTTAAAAAACGAAAATTACCTTCTAAGTTAGAAGTTTGATCTAAGTTCATTTTTTTTTAATTTTTAACTCAATTCAAAGCATTTTTTTTTTTTTTTTTGTTGTATGCAGTTTCCAGCTAACTTTAATAAATTTTTTTCTATTTGTGAAAATGTCTACGTAATTCAAAGGTAATTTTTATTATATGTCTTACACAGCATTATTAATATGATTTTGGATGTTACAGAACTTTAAAATTACTTTAAAAAATGAAAAATAATTGTATCATTTGATTTCAAGATATTTTGTATATCTTAAAAATAATTAATTCTATCCCAGGAAACAGTTCACTTTTATCCTGGAATCCCAGGACAAGCAAAAGACCGGGAAATGAGAAATCCTAATACATACCATAACAATAAAACAATGTAGTTTGAAGGTGGCATTACTTCAAGGTTCAGAGCAGTTATGAAGGTGGTGTGGTACAGGCAACATCTGATGAAGAAGTGGTGACTAACATCTTAATGGCCAACCTTCATTCCATCTTCTCTTAATAAACCAGATGTCAGTGTTAAGTCTTAATTTAATAGATGAGGGCTTATGCTTAAATATTGACTGGGATCTAGGCAAATTATTCTACAAACGTAACGAAATTATTACAAAGAATTGCTTTTTGCTCTTGGTATAATTAAATAAAATAGAATACTACATTGTATAAGTTGTACTACATTGATACCTGAATGTTTGTGCTTATTATCACTGGTGTGATAAGCCCTTATTACTACTATATATGTCTGAAGTAAAGATTGAATGGCAATCCAGATTGAATTATTAGTAATATATCTTCTTGGTAAGCAAAAATGCAAGTTTCAGCCCAGCTCTGTTAATTTTCCTGAATTTCTGATTTATGTAATGAAGCTTTTTGTCCTCAAATTTATTTTTTTATATCCAATAACAATGTGGTTATATGTAAAGGACAATCACACCACAAGTCACTAACTAGTTGACACAGATATATCTTATTTTATTCATTTAATTTATCCAAAATATACATTTTGGACTCTAATTCCTCTTCAGTTGAAATAGAAAATGCTATTGTAAAGAATTTTTTCTTTGTCACATTATATATGACAAATAAAATATATTCTAAACAATTAAAATTTTACTTTACAGCATGGTACATAGCAAATATTAACAAAAGGTTTATATATTTCAATGATTTGAAACTTTATTAAAAAAAACACATCATACCATTCTGATCAAAATAAAACATCAACATCACTATTTTAAACTTATTTTGTAAACTATGGAAAAGTTTTGAACTAGTGGCACTCTCTATAACTCATACCAATGATAACCAAATATTATTAAATTGTAACTCAATGTTATCATTCATACAGTTAAATTTTTTTCTATACTTTAAAATTTGTAAATGTTCCTTTTTTAGTTTTCTTTTATAATTATTATTATTTTTTTTTTTTTTTAATTTCTTGTTTTATTTAAATTCAATTCAAATCCTGTATTTATACAATGCCTGGCAGTGGAATAATTTACATAATTATATTGTAATAATAATAATGTAATAATTATGTAAATTATATTGTAAGGTTCCTGTATTCTGAGTTTTAACATCCTACTAGTTTATTGTTAATCTCATTTTTTGTATGATTTATTAACAAACTAACAAACATTGTATAAAACAGAGCCAAAAATATATTATACTGTTTAAATGTGTTTTGTAATTGTGTAAAAATTAAAGGATTATATTCAAATTTTTTATAGATCACTGTTGTTTTCTTTTTTCTTTTTATTACTATTCATACTCTTTTTAAGCTATTTTTGTAATAGATTTTTTAGATAATTATTTAACAAATATGTCTGTATTATATCTTTAATTTCAACTATTCAGTAATATAGAGGAAAAATTTTTTTCCTGTGATAGAATTTTCTACTTCAAATGAATAGGGACTTAGAGACCAGAATGTACAGTATTGGAGAAATTTTAAGAATAAAATAAGATACATCTTTGTCAACCAGCAATCTGCGGTATGATTGTCCTTTAAATATAACCATGTTATTGGATAGAAAGAAATTTCTGATTTATTTAATTTCTAATCATCAATCTTAACACAAGATGGCAGGCTAATGATTTTTTGTTGATATTGAAATTTGGGAATTTGAAAATATTGTAGAAAATGAATGAGCGTAATAAAAGAAGAGAAAATTATAAAATTTCTTTTTTATTTATCAAAGTAATAAATGAAAAAGATAGCATTTACATTTTTCCTTAATAAATATATAAAATAAATTACTACTACTTTATAATAGTAGTAATTAATTTTTGCTTTCTAATATGATTTATCAGTTATAAAATAAGGAACTGATTTAAAATTTTCTTTATAAATTAGGTGTGGATAGGTTAGACAAAGTCCTAACAATTGGACAAATGCAAGGTAAGAATTTTATTAACTATAGTTATATATATATAGTTATTTATTTTATTATAAACACTATAATCATAGTTTATAATCATTATGTAGTAGTGATATATCATGATTTTATGCAAAATTCTTGGTTTTTGTTGGCTTATTTTGTGATTTTATGTTTTGTCTATTAAGATGTACTTAATTTATAATGTGATTGCTAGCGAATATGAGAGAAATGAGCTAAGTTGCATTATCTTGAAATAAAAATTGAAAAAGTTAATAGGAAAAGAAATTAAAATACTTGTAGCGCATCGTAAAAATATTAATTATTCCAATTTGTTGGTTTTTCTATATGTTTATATGACTAATTTTTTGGTTTTCTTGTCTGTTTTTTACTTGAACTAAGTACTATTACAATTTATACAGATTAGCATAAAATTTTTAATTGAATAAGGGATCTCAGATATTAAACATAGAAGAATAGTTGGAAAGATCTATAGATGTATAGCAATTAACTGTAGCGCTAGTTTGTAAATAATTACCTTACGAACCAGGCTACAAACAAAAAATTCAATAACTTAATTTTTTAGACTATTATATTACATGATCTAAACAGAATTGACACGTGTGCATACGAAATGAGGTTTAAATACAAAGTGAGGTCTTTGGGACAGGTTGCCAGGTCTGTTAAGTTCAGAGTTTCTCCTGGTGGCAACTTTTGGATTTATGATCAAAACTGTCGCCACGTTAACCATAATTGTAATGAGAATTTGTTGAAGAGATTTATAATTTTCTGTTCATTTTTTTAACACTAGTTTCTTTTTCCAAAACAATATCTATCTTAAAAAGAAAATTATATTCTGGAGAGGAATATGATTTTCTAGTTTGGTTAAGAATGAGAAGGATAGAAATGAAGAGCATGAATACAGTGGACTCTGATATTTATTAAGAATGACAAGGAGAATAAATTATAAGTATATTGGAATGACTGAAAGAGCATAGAAAGGTGATTATGAAATTTAAAAAGATTGTCAGGACGAATTTAGATTTACAAAAATATATATTTCTTGGACTATACATACTCAATTCAATTCAATATTTTATTGCTGTACAAGGAAGTACAACACCGGTACTGCATGTAGCACAACCGGTAACAAATGCGAAAACAAATACATGAAGTACAAAGTGTTAGAAGTAGATTGATTAAACAGATAGCATAAATTTGAGATATAACTTATGATCAATTCATACATAAAATTGGTATTAAATCAAGACAATTTACATTGATATAATTAAGACAAATTAATTAAAACCAATACATAATACAATATATGATAGTAAGTAAGAACAGGTACAGAATACAGATTTTGGGATTCAGTCCAAGCGATGAGGATCAGGGAAGAGTTATGGAGGAACGATTATCGACAAGTCTGAAGTACTGGGTAAAGTAGGTGTAGGTAGTTTGGTCATTAACCAGATCATTGAGGTTGCATGGCCATTGGATGCCCCTTGAGTTAATGATGGTTTTAAGTTGTAGCCGTTCAGCCTCAAGCATTGGGCAGTTAAAAATATAGTGAGAGGCCCCGTCCTGAATGTCACAGAGAGGACAGATATTAGTTGAGTAAGAGAAAAACCTGTTTAAGTAATTAAGGAAATTGCCATGGTCAGTATAAAACTGGGTTCTGAGGTGGTTAATTTTGATCCATTTGTATTGGAATAAGTTAGTGATGATGGGGAAGAGTTTTTTAGTGATAGATTGCCGAGTATTCCAGGTATTTTGCCACTCATGTAGAAGGTTATTCCACAGTAAGTTTTTAAGGGTGGATTTATTTATTTTATTGTAAGTGATAGAAAGAGACGAGTCGTTGGTGGCAGATTTTGCAAGAGTGTCAGCTGTCTCGTTTCCAGGATTACCCTGATGAGCACGGGTCCAGATTAAGGAGTAGTTGTTTGAGGAAGCCATAGTTGTGTTGTAGATGTCAGTTACCAGTTCATGAGGTTTCTTGCTTTTGATAATGGCAATAGCTGCCTGACTGTCAGTTATAATATTAATGTTATGGCTCTTGTAGTTATTTTCACACCAGTGGAGGGCAGAATTGATGGCAAAAAGTTCGGCTTGAAAGATGGAGCAGTGGTCAGCAAGTCAGTCGCTCGTGGAAGATTTCGTTGCCATCACAGTAGGCCACAAAGCTGCATCCAACATGATTGTCCATTCTGGAGCTGTCTGTAAAAAGTTCAATTTTGGTATTTATATTAACGTCAAAATTAATCGGATTATGATGACCTGGGAACTGAACTAGATAGAAAGGGATGGTTACTTCCAGATCTTTCACACCGATGCTGTGGGAGGGGTTAATATTAGTGTCGTGCCCCCATTTAAGCCTCCAATGCTTGTGAAAAACGTCAATGACCATCTCAACTGGAGGTTTCTTAGCAATCACCTGCAAACCAACAGTTGGGGCAGTACAATAGGCCTTTGTAATAAGGAGCAGAGCTTTGCATTGTGCTGATGTTAAGGACCTGCGAGGATGGACTTTGTGGGCTGCCTGCCCCCAGGTGCTGCAAGCGTAGGTCAAGGTTGGGATAAAAATGTAGTCATATATGGTCGCCATGGCCTCGGAGTTGAGGCCTCGTTTATTTTTTGCGTACTTGCCAAAAGTATGAAAGATAAGTCCAATTCGATCTGCAATATTCTTGATATGTTGGGTCCAAGTAAGAGTTGGGTCTAGAGTAATTTCCAAGTATTTTAAAGATTTAGCTACTCTAATAGATTTGCCATGCATCTTGATTGTTGGGACACGGGCATATAAATTTTTATCACGAGGTTTATTGAACATAATACACTTGGTTTTGTGAGCAATGAAGCTAAGTTTGTTGTTTTCTCCCCAAGTGCAAATGTTTTTTAATATCAAGTCTGCTCTGTGCTCTAGCCCTGCTCTGGAATTACTGCCGATAAGTAGGATTACATCATTGGCATAAGCTGTGATGGAATCTTGTCCGAAGTCCTCATTAAGGAAAGAATCAAACGCAATGTTCCATAGGGTGGGGCTGCATACGGACCCCTGCAGGCAGCCACGCTCTACCTTCTGCACACACTTGTGATCGCCATATTGGAGGATGGCAACTCTGTCATTTAGATAGTCTTTGATAAGTTTGTATAGGTTAGAAGGGCAGTTGATATCTTTTAAGATGCTGTAAGATGAGAGGCCACCAGGCATGGTCAAAGGCCTTGGAGATATCTAGACTGATTTCTAGAATGTATTTGTAGTTGTTGAGTAAGGACTTGATGTTGCTGACGACGTTGTTGATGGCTTGGGGGGGCAGAACGTTGGGGTCTGAAACCATATTGGTAGTTGCTGAAGTAATTGCCTTTTTCAACATGCCAGATGAGCCTGTTATTAATTAGTTTTTCCAAGTCCTTTCCCATAACTGGTAAAAGAGAAATTGGGCAGTAGTCATCAGGGTTGCCTGGTTTAGGAATGGGTATAATATTGGCAATATTCCAGGCTTTGGGGAAAATACCGTGCTCTAGACAGCTATTGAAAATCTATAGTAGGGCATCGGGAATGAGCCTCCAAATTTGCTTGGCAATATCAGTTGTGATATAGTCTACACCAGGGGCTTTACCACGTTTGAGAGTGTTGAATATGTGATCTATTTCCTCATAAATGAATGGCAGCATGTCTGCAGTATTTGTATTATCATGGGTGTTGTTTCTAATATTACTATGGAAGTTGTTGTCCAGTTCAGGTGGGTCTCTAAAGCAGAAGTTATCCATTTGGGCCTGAACTGTCTCCTCTAGGTTTTTAGTATATGTATCATTAATATTAGTCGTAGAAATAATGTGACTGTGTCATAGCTTGTTGGTACATAATTTCATGATGTAGCCCCAAGGATTATTAGAGGCCTTGGAGCAGTAGTCACGCCAGGATTTGAGCTTGGATTTCTTAATTTCCTTCTTGTAGATCCGTTGATGTTGAAGGTATTGAGTTCTGTGGGTAGATCATTCGAGTTCCATGAAAGTACGTTGGTATATTTTGCGGAGTCGGTTGTTGGTCTTACGAAGGTCAGAAAGGGTATGATTCCACCATAGAACCTGTCTTCCTTTAGGGGAAGTCCTAGGAATGTAGAGTTCACAGGCGTTGGAGATGAGCTGTATGTTGGTGTCCAGTGAGTGACGAGTAGATCTATATTCTGGTTGTCGGAGTCAGGGCGGGCGTGCAAGGCGTGCGGGCGGCACGTCCAGGGGGCGGCAAAGAGCCTTTCTGGCAAGCTCAGCATAGGTAATCGTAGTTAAACAGGGGGCGGCATAATCGGTATTGCACACGGGCGTTCAAACAGCTAGCGGCGCCCCTGGTCGGAGTCTACAAGATGTATAGTGGGATAGCGTTGAATTCCAAGCCAGTCAGCACGAGAGATGTTATACTTTCTGTTGCGGTTAGGATAGGTGGGTGTCTTGGAGGTGAAGGTGATGTAAGAGTGCCCAGAAAGAGTCTTCCAAGAGAACCTTCCAGTCAGAGATGAGGGGTTGGCAGTTGATGGAACATGACGTAATGTCGATCCAGCTTTTTCCTCTGCTAGAGGTAAAAGTAGATGGAGAGAACGGGTTGTTGATGACTAAAAGGTTATTAGAAGCAAAGAAATCCTCCAGAATGTTACCTTTGTTGTCAAGCTGATCACCCCTCCAGCAAGGGGAGTGAGAATTTGTGTCTCCAGCAATGATGATGTTCTCCCCCTGGAAGCAGTTGATAATATTTTGTATCTTAGAAAGGATATTGTCGATGTTATCGCTGGGTGGGCAGTAGATGTTAACCACAATAAGCCTTCCTAACTTGGTGCTGACCTCAATGCAAACCATATGCTCACTGCCGAGATGTCTATGGTGAAGGACAGTAAGGTCCTTGCTGACAATGATGGTCATTGCCCATTAGTGCTTTGAACAGTGCTGCAATATTTCGGTAGACAAGCGGGAGTGTTCCGGATATAGTATGGCTCTTGCGTGAGTATGATATTGTAATTACTGAGCT